TTCCATACTTAATTGTTCTTCTCTCCTTCCTTCCTCCTCTTTCCCTTCTCTCCTTCCCCTTCCTCCCCTTTACCCTTCCCCTCTTCTTCCCATTCCTCCCCTCTTTCCTACTCTTACATTCCCTCCCATTCTTCCTCTGCCGTTCCCTTTCTCCTATTCCTCTCCTTTCTCCTCTCCTCTCCTATCTTTCCTTCTACTCCTCCCTCCATCCACTCTATCCGTTGTTGTGTTTACATATTCTTGTAAAAAAAAAAAAAAAAGTGGCACAGCACAGCTGATTGTTGTGAACCGGTAGCATTTTTTACTACCGTTTCTGGCTAACTGGCCCGAACTGGTAGCATTTCACCCCTGTGATAAAGAGTCTTAAGGACGGATATTTAAACAACTCACCATTAGGCTTGAAGGAATTATGTTAGATTTTTTGTTTAATTAGGACTCCCTCTGCTGGATTTGATTACTGAACACAATCTGAATAATAACATCGGCAGCACTTGTCTTCCACAGTGATATTTCTTCAGAATGGATGGCCCGTATGGAATGATGTTAGTTTTAAAAAATGCCGAAGAACACACAACCATCTGAAGCTGTATTTAGCAAATTTGTGGGGTTTTTTTGCTCTCTTGGAACCAGATGCCTGCCGAAAAGGAGAATTAATGTCTTTATTACTCAACCGGTTAGCAGTGTTGCTGAACAAAATTAGCTATGTTGCGTATTCCTAGCCAGCTAAAAAAGGAATTGTTTTTGGATGTACTGTGGTGGAATGTAGTAAGATGGATTTCCTGGGGGAAGAAGGGTTGCAACCCAAAGAAATAAGAGGCAACTAGTGTCCATGTTTTTGGGTTTTTTTTTTAAATAGATCTGATCATTTTATCAAAGAACAATTAAGTATGGAAGACTCCAGTATTTAGTTTGATGAGGGAGAATTTATTTATTTTTTCATCCTGTTAATGGCTTTTATTCTGTCGTCTTATTTCTTTCCCAAAGGACTGAAAAGGCCTTGGAAGTTTTGTTTTGCCATTTTGTAGATTGTTTTTTTCTCCCATTGTTATATCCTTTTCAGATGGAATCAGAGCTACGGGACACTCCTTGTCACTGTAGAGAAATAAACATTACAGACATAAGCCAGATAAAATCTTGGTTTATTTTATTTAAGCCACCTAGCACACGTTTAAGAAGGGTTTTTTTTAAATAGTCAAACACAATTCATACATGAATAATTTATCATTCTGTGCCAATGAGGAGTAAAGTACGTTTTGACGTGTTTTTGTTTAGATGGGTTTAAACATCCTGGATCCAACTTCCTTCTAACTTAGCAGTCTAGTAGAGGCTCCTTAAAAGTTCATTGCTCTAAAAATAAATGAAGCTGCATTGGGCATAATGCGCCCTCTCTCTCCATTATGTTTTGACTTTAATAGCTCAGTGACTTTGCACTCTGCCGTATTCGGCTTGCAAAGAAGTCAAG